GTCGCTAAAAAAATAAAAAATTTAATTTTTTAATAAATTTAGCGACCAAATTAAAATCGATCGCTAAAAAATAAATAAATAATTTATTTTTTAACAATTTTAGCGACCGAATTAAAATTGGTCGCTAAAAAAATAAAATAGGCTTTCTTGATGAGACCATTTCTACGCTTTGAGAATGTAACTTGTCGATTCGTTGGGTTCTCTATTCTCTTTATCTCAAGTTTAACACGACCCATGTTGATATAGATGATTTATTATAATTATTGTCTATCGAGTGTAGAGTATGTTGTTGTATGCAAAAAAAGGAAATGAAGAATCTGAAGGAGGAAATCTAAATTGCCCTCTTAAATTTTTTTTGAATCGGAAAAGGAGAAAATTATAATATATGAGAACATGCACGACGAAGCTTAAAAGAAGGAGGTGTTGGATAGGAGAGAGAGAGAAGGGAATGGTTATAAACGGGAGAGAGGAGAAAACGACCTTTATTCTGTGTGAATACTTGTAAAATCTTGAGAAGGGTTTCTCAAGTGGTAAGGTTTCTTGTAGTGGGTTTCTACAAGGGGTGCTTTCTTGGGTTCAAGAAAGTGGTTATCTTTAGTGTTGAAGTATATGCATGTGTGGTGTGCTTGTAAACCTTCTTCATTGAGATAGTGGAACAAATCTTGATCAGGTGTTGATTAAGGACTGGATGTAGGACACATGTGGAGTGGCTGAACCAGTATAAAAGACTTGTGCAATCTTCTTCTACCTTTATCTTTTACTTTGAGTAATAACTTGGTTGAACATTAAAGCATTACATTTGAATCTCATTATTGTGTAATCAAGAAAGCATATAGCATTCATACTTCTATAAACAAGTCTTTGAAGAAACTTCATTGAAAATTCAGTCTTAGAAAAGTTTAAGTGAAATAAAGATCCTAAATACTCTGAAAATTTTTAAAGGGACATAGAATCCAATTCACCCCCACTCTTGGATTGTGCCATTCTTTTCTAACATCATACACATGTCATAAGACATCACATGCAATAATGCATCATAAATGGTCTACCCACCATTATGATCAATAAACATAACCATATGAACATATACACATTTCATATCATATTCAAAGATTCATAAGTATCATCACAAAGCATACATATGAATCACCCCTCACCATACATCATATATCATACATATATGATCTAAAACTTCAACTTTAAACATGCATAAGTATCATTCATAAACATATTCATGCTCGGCATAACCTTAGCTCGCCCAGCCTAATCCCAACTTAAGAGTCCTAAAACTCATTCACACCCGGCGAGTTCAACTCACGCTCGGTGTCCTTGAGACAGAGACTCCTGAGAGTCTCCACGCCTAACGCAACCAAATCACACCTGGCCCAACATCCAACCCAAGAGCCCTAAGCTCTTCCACGCCTGGCGCGCTCAACCTGCGCCCGACCTAAATCCCAGTCAGAGAGTTCAAAACTCTCATCCAAACTAACAAATTCAGCCACATGCAAACACAAAACACAATTCATAGGCTCCATACGACTAAAAATAAACTTAAATCTCACATGCATCCAACCTATGCATCAAAATCATCAAAATCCTCTTTTTTCTCAAAACCCAAAAAAATGAGATTTTCTTCAATCCATCTATGGATTCTCAACATTCATGCATCAATTGAGTTTCTAAACACACATGCAACCTAAACAACAAATATTCTAGCTTCCCTCACCTGGAGATTGGCCCAAAATAGCCAGTAACTTAGAAGAAGTAAAACTCCCTTTAGAAGCTCAACTTGGAACTTCAATCCTCCCAAAGCAAGCTTCCTAGTCTGAATTTCAAGAAAAGCCAGAAGACGTTAGTGATCTAGAGGAGAAAAGGAATCATACAGAGAAATTTGGGAGAGAAAGGAGCACACAAACCCAGAGTCTTTCTCTCTGCAACTTCTCTCTAAAAACTCATTCTCCTTAACTGCCCCTAACCCCTATTTATAGATATTCCAGAGTGGCCAGAACGGCCTGTATCAAAACCGGAATGGCCCGTTCTATACTCCCTCAACACGTACAAAAACCACATGCAGAACGGCCCGTTCTCCATCCAGAACGGCCCGTACTCCCTGCGGAACGGCCCGTTCTCTAACCAGAACGGCCCATTTTGGAATTTGGAATGGCCCGTTCTCCCTCCAAAACGGCCCGTTCTTAGCTATGTTTTATAGATAAATCCAGTAGCTTGGAACAGCCCGTTCTGGGCTACTAAATCACCTATAATTTTTTTTAAAACACGTTACAATACTCCCCAACAAACAAGAATTTTCGTACCCGAAAATAGGTATACTTGAAGAGAGGAATGGATATTGTCCCTTGAACTGACTCTCCACCTCCGAGGTAACCTCACCAGTAGCTGCATCCCAAACAATCCTTACCAAGCTGATGGACTTGCCACGAAGCTTCTTCAACTTGTGATCAACCACAGCTACCAGTCTCTTCTCATAGGTCAAGTTCTCTCTAACTTGCACCTCATCCATCTCTACCACTTGACTCGAGTCTCTGATGTACTTCCTCAACTATGAAACGTGAAACACATGTTCTCCCTCTTCAAACTCTAGAGGTCTCCTCCTCCTATTAGTTAGGACTTTTGTCGACTCTGGGTATCCATTAACCTTTCCTGAATCTATCTCACCATCTCAGTAGTCTAAAGAAACTCTACCAATGGTAACACCTCCTCTCAGCTACCCAGATGATCCAACACACAAGATCTCAAGAGATCCTCCAATGATTGAATTGTCTTCTCTGACTGACCATCTGTTTGTGGATGATAAGCGGGGCTCAACCTCAACCTCGTCCCCAAAGCCTGATGTAGAGTCTGCCAACCTGGAGGTAAACCTTGGATCTCAACCAAAATTTTCGGTCGCTAAATAGCGACCGAAATTTTTTGGTCGCTATATAGCTTTTGCGACTACTTAAATTCGGTCGCTAATTCGGTCGCTAAGTCAAATAGCGACCGATTTTAGCAATTTAGCGACCGATTTTGGTGGTCGCTAAATTCAATTTTTTTTGTAGTAGGTCTCTTTCTAGGTCCCTTTCTACATTCAGCCAACCATTTATGTTAGACATTTATTTGTGTCGGAAATATTTTGTGAAAAAATGTAGAAAAATTAGATTTTGTAGACAAAGTGAAGATAGAAAATCATCATTAAAATTACCTTAAAAAATTTATAAAAGATGATGTTTATGTATAGACTTACAATCAATTTAAAATTCCTAATAAATTATGATAGTATTCATCTTAGAATTCGTCTCATTCATATGCACCTTAATAATAATATGCACTTTATATTAATTCAAAGATTAATAATTATGATGTATGGTGGACCACCTATGATGGTGATCTACCTTAAAATTCGTCTTATTTGTTGATATTTTATATTTTGTAACTTTGTTTTAATTGGTTAATAAGTGTATTGCTTTACTGCAATGACAATTACAATTTTTGAATTATTTCTCTTTATGATGAATTTAATATGAATTTTAATTGTTACTTTTTAAAATGACTCCTATTATTCTGAATAAAAGAACCACCTTTTCATATTCTCTTTTCTCGTTTATTATCAGTGGTATCAAGAGCTAGGTTAAGAGAAAGGCAGTACTCCAAGAGTGTAAAAAAAAAAGAGAGAAGAGAACAATTATCCCACCAATGACTTCTGAAAATTTTGTGCATCCAACCATTCCACGTTTTGATGGTCACTAAGACCATTAGAGCATGCTGATGGAGAATCTCTTGAGATCCAAGGAGTTCTAGCAGGTTGTTGTAGATGGTGTGGCAACACCAGGGGATGGTGTAGCTTTTACAGATGCCCAACAAAAGGAGCTTGATGTGATGAAATTAAAAGACTTGAAAGCCAAGAATTATTTGTTTCAAGCCATTGATCGATCTATCCTTGAAACTATTCTTTGTAAAGATACTTCCAAGGATATTTGGGATTCAATGAAAAAAAATATCAAGGCTCCTCGAGAGTTAAACATGCTCAACTTCAAGCTTTGAGAAGAGACTTTGAAGTCCTTCAAATGAAGGATGGTGAGTCTGTAACTGACTATTGTTCAAGGACCATGGGTATTGCTAACAATATGTGATTTCATGCTGAAAAAATTAATGATATAGCCATTGTTGAAAAAATCCTAAGCTCCTTAACACCAAAGTTTGATTATGTGGTGTGCTCAATTGAAGAGTCAAATGATATTGATGATCTCTCCTAGGGATGGCAAAAATACTTGCACCTGCGGGTATCTACCGGTAAAATCTGCTACGGATAATAAATGGATAGGTTAATTGGATACCCGCGGATAATGGGGACGGATAATTTTTTACCCGTTTATAAATGGGGCGGGGGTGGGTATGATGATATTCATACCCGCGGGTACCCGTTTAATAATATTTCTTAAATATCTTAATTATCCTTGTACCACATAACCCTAAAACTACACTCTCTCATCTTTTTTTTCTTACAAAAGTGTGGTTGATGAAGTTACCAACATGTGTTAAGCATGTTATAGAATTATGTTGGATGTAATTTGATTAATTTTCTATCTTTGATTGGACCAATAAAATTTATGTATTTTAAGTTATTTACTTTCGTTTGAAATTATGATATTGAATTATTGTAGCTTTGTGATGAGACTTTAACTTACTTGTGAGATTGATGTATTTTAAGTTATTGATTATCTTGCATTTTTATTATTATTTTAACAAAATTAACTTTAAATACAAGTTCAAAATTAACATTGAATTTTTTATTTTTAATATTTCAATGACAATAAATATAAACTTAAAATTATTTGTAATATAATTTTTTTTAATTTCTTAAAAAATTTATAAATATCCATGGATATCTGCAGGTATTCAAGAAATTCATGGATACCTGTTTAATGGATACCCGCGCGAATATGAGGTGGCTATGAGGCCAATTTTTATCTAGCGGGGCGGGGGCGGGTTTACTATTACCCGCCCCCATGGGCCCCATTGCCATCCCTAATCTCTCCCTAGATGAACTTCAAAGTTCTTTGTTGGTCCATGAACAAAAGATGAACAGAAGTTCAACAATGAAGGAACAAGCATTGAAGGCTTCTACCAATACTCCTTCATACAACTCTAGAGGAATGGATAGAGGTAGAGGTAGAGGACGAGGGCGTGGAGGTCGTGGAAATAGAGATTTCAACAAGAACTCTAGAGGCAACAATGACCAATTTCAAGGCAATGATAGAGGGAGAGATCATAATAAATCAAAGGTAGAATGCTTTAGATGTCATAAATTTGGTCATTATGCTTTTGAATGTTATACTAGACTGCCTAATCTTAAAGAAAAGGGTGAAAGTTCAAATTTTATCGAGGAGAAAGAAGTAGAAACCCTGTTGATGGCAATTGAAGATGCAAAAAATAGCGAGGCAGAAATTTGGTATGTTGATACTGGCTGTAGTAATCACATGAGTGGAAGTAAGTCATCTTTCTCATATTTAAATGAAAATTTTCACTCTACCGTGAGCTTTGGTGATTGCTCTACTATGAAAGTGATGGGAAAAGGTGATATAAAAATAAAAACCAAGAATGGTTTTGTAGAAACAATTTCTAATGTGTTTTATGTCCCTGACTTGAAAAGCAACTTGTTAAGTGCTGGTCAATTACAAGAAAAAGGTTATGAAATTTTTATTAGCAAAGGTTCTTGTGAAATTATTGATCCTGTTCGAGGTGCTATTGCAGTTGTAATCATAAGTTCAAACAGGCTATTTCTGTTGAAAATTGAAACATTCAATCTGGTTTTTTTGGCTAAAGCTACTAATTCTTCTTGGTTGTGGCATTATCGTTATGGCCATTTGAGCTTTAGTGGAATGAAGACCCTTTAACAAAAAAACATGGTGACAAGCCTTCCACAAATTACTATTCCTTCTCATGTATGTGAAGAATGTGTTGTTAGCAAACAACATCGTTCTCAATTCCCTAATGGAAAATCATGGAGAGCAAAGAGTGTTTTGGAATTGGTTCATTCTGATATTTGCGATCCAATAAATCCTTCTTCTAATGGAGGTAAAAAATACTTCATTACTTTCACAGATGATTTTTCTAGAAAAACTTGGGTCTATTTTTTGCAGGAAAAATCTGAAGCTCTCTCTTCATTCAAAAGCTTCAAAGCTCGAGTTGAAACTGAATCGGGAAAAACTATTAAGTCTTTTCGAACAGACCGTGGTGGAGAGTATTGTTTAGATGAATTTTCTATTTTTTTGTGAAAAACACGAAATCCGGAAGGAGTTAACAACAACATATACACCATAACAAAATGGTGTTTCAGCGAGGAAAAATAGAACCATTCTCAACATGGTACGGAGCCTCTTGACTAAGAGTGGTGTTTCAAAAGATTTTTGGCCTGAAGTTGTTAACTGAAGCGTGCACATTCTAAATAGAAGTCCCACATTTGATGTGAAGAATATGACACCAAAGAAGGCAAGGAGCGGGAGAAAACCAACTATGGACCATTTCAGGATTTTTGGGTGCATTGCTTATGCTCATATTCCTGACAAGAAAAGATCAAAGCTTGATGACAAAGGTGAAAAATGTATCGTTCTTGGTGTTAATGATCAATCAAAAGCATATAAATTGTATAATCCTATCACTAAAAAGATCATTATTAGTCGTGATGTTGTTTTCAATGAAGAAATATTTTGGGAAAATAACATAAATGAAACAAAGAAAATACTTGCAAACTTTGATGGAGATAATGAAGATGAAGAGTCACAGCCAATGGAGCTAGAAGAACAACAAATTCCAATAGCCACGTCTGAAGAAGAGAGACCTCAACGTGCAAGGAGAAGACCTACATGGATGTCTGATTTTGAGGTAACAGGAATTAAAGACCCCATTACTCATTTTGCTTTGTTTTCAGAAAGTGACCCTACAACCTTTGAAAGTGTTCTTAAAGAAGAAAAATGGAGAATAACGATGGATGATGAATTTGATTCCATTGAAAGAAATGATACTTGGGAGCTGTGTGATCTTCTAGATGGGCACAATACCATAGGAGTGAAATGGGTTTTCAAAACAAACCTGAAAGAAAATGGTGAAGTGGATAAGTATAAGACACGTTTGGTGGCTAAGGGTTACTGTTAAGTCTCATTTATACATATGTTTAGATAGGAATTATTGAACAATTCCACTCACCCCATGCCCTCTTGCAATATAATTGTTCTCTTTTTTATTCAATTTTTGTGCAAATATAGCTAACCCAAAACTCATCTAACAATACCCTGCCTGATACACCTCATTTTTTGTGCAGGTATTGAGTGAAGAGTTAAAGTTGAAGACCATTGAATTGGAAATTAAAAGAGCAAAGGAGTAGGAGAAGTAATATCACGCCGGGCGCAAGAGTGCCCGCGCCAGGCTTAATTAAGATAAAGAGCAACACACTCTGTAATTTAGCACTGCGCCAGGCATAGGAGTATCCCAGTCAGGCGTGCTTTGAGACAGAGAGTAATTACCCCTTTGGAAGACCATGCACCGGGCACAAGGTATAACGCGTCGGGCGTGTAAACCCTATCCTGACTTAACCAGTTCGTATTTGAGCAAAGCTTTGAGGCTTTTCCGCCTCATTCACACATTGAGCTACTTCTGGGAGCTGTGGGTTTTTCCTTCGATTCTTCCATCTCTATTTTTGTTTTACCCTCATTGTTTTGAACGGTTCTACCCATTATTTTGTGGTGTTAGATGTAACCAACAAAACTCTTTTATAATCTTCACTTTATTAGTGATATATATATTGTTTCATTCATTGTTGTGTTATGTTTCTATTCTTAATGCTTGCTTTGGATTGATTTTCCTTTGCTTGATATAGAGTCCATTGGGTATTGGAAAATAGCCTTTGAAACTAGCTCTGAAACAAAATACCTAGTGAGAAATGTATCTAGGAATGGAGCTTGGCCCATTAGTAGTCTTAAACCCTAACCCGTAATGCAGGTATATATATTGAATATACTCAAGGAATTGATATTCACTATATGTACCTAGGCTCTTGCTCTAAGGGATTAGGTTTGAGTAAACTTATGGGTTGACTGGGCAATGAATGTAACAAGAGAACAAAGATTCATCAGTGTGAAGTTTGGTGATATCTGACCCCACAATCTTACAAAATCACAATACCATTTCTATCCCTTCCACACATACACACAAATAGTTTTATAGGTTTTGAAATTCCAATAAGTCATAACCTTTATTTGAATTGCATGACAATTTATGAACAATTGGAATTATTCTTTAGTCACAAATAGTCAATAAATGCTTATTTTACCTACTAGTCCCTATGGACACGATTTAAATTTACTACTTGAATGGCTAGTATACTTGTCGTGTTTGAGTCCGTTGATAGAATAAAAAATGATTTATAACAAAGATAAAAACTAATGTCAACGGAAATCTCAACAATTACAAGCAACAATATGGGGTTGATTACATAGAATTTCTTTTACCAGTTACAAGGAATGACACAATCAGGTTGGTAGTTGCATTAGCGACACAAAATGCTTGGCCTATTTTTCAACTAGATGTAAAATCAACATTTTTACATGGTTACTTGGAGGAACAAGTATTTATTGATCAACCCCCTGGCTATGTGAAAATAGGAAATGAGAACAAAGTTTACAAACTAAAAAAGGCTCTTTATGGGCTAAAACAAGCCCCTCAAGCTTGGTATAGTCGCATTGAGTCTTATTTCATAAAAGATAGTTTTACAAAGTGTCCTTATGAGCATTCATTGTTTGTTAAATTTGGAGAAAAAGGAAAATTGCTTATAACATGCTTGTACGTTGATGATATTATGTTTATTGGAAATTGTACTGTCATGTTTGATGAATTCAAGAAGTCTATGATGAATGAATTTGAAATGAATGATCTTGGCATGATGCACTACTTTCTTGGCATAGAAATAGTGCAATCAGAAAGTGGAATTTTTCTTTCTCAAAAGAAATATGTGGGAGAAATTCTAAAAATATTTCATATCCATGATTGCAATTTTGCAAACACTCCAGTTGAGTGTGGTTTTAAGTTATTTAAAGATCATGAAGGAAAAAAAATAAACAGTACACTTTACAAACAGATTGTGGGCAGCTTAATGTATCTAACTGCAACTAGACTAGATATAATGTATTCTGTAAGTTTGATTAGCAGGTACATGGAGAATCCTACATAAATGCATTTACTTGCTGTTAAAAGAATCCTTCGTTACTTGCAAGGAACAAGAGAGTTTGGACTATTTTACAAGAAAGGTGAAAAGTCCAATCTATTGGGGTTCACTGATAGTGATTATGCAGGATATCAAGATGATAGAAAGAGTACTTCGGGGTGTGTTTTCATGCTTAGCACAGGCGCTGTCTCCTGGTTCTCTAAAAAACAACCTATTGTTACTTTATCAAGCACAGAAGCATAATTTGTTGTAGCAACTGCTTGTGCTTGTCAAGCCATATGGCTAAGGAGAATCCTTGAAAAGTTAAAATTCGAACAACATGGCGCTACTAGGATATTTTGTGATAATAATTCAACAATCAAACTTTCAAAGAATCCAGTACTATATGGAAGAAGCAAACACATTGATGTCAAGATTTATTTTCCAAGAGATCTGAGCAATGATGGAGCCATTAAATTGATTTATTATCGGAGTGAAGATCAAGTTGATGATATTTTCACCAAAGAGCTCAAGAGAGTCATTCATGAAGCATAGAAGGTTTCTTGGGGTCTGCAGCTAAATTCTGTGAAGCCTTTAAACTAAATGTTAGCAAACATCAGTTTAAGGGAGGGTCTGTTGATATTTTATATTTTGTAACTTTGTTTTAATTGATTAATAAGTTTATTGCTTTACTGCAATTGCAGTTACAATTTTTGAATTATTTCTCTTTATGATGAATTTAATATGAATGTGTAATTGTTACCTTTAAAATGACTCCTATTATTCTGAATAAAAGAACCACCTTTTAATATTCTCTTTTCTAGTTTATTATCATATTCATATTAGATAATTAAAATAAATATAAATAAAAATATATAAAAAAATAAAATTATTAAATTTTATAAAAACAAGTAAACATAATTATAAAAAATTAAGCACAAATTTAAAAACAAAATTCTTTAATACTTCATGCGTTGTCGAAAGTGACATATATAAAAAAAAAAGCACTAAAAATAAGTAAATCACAAAAAAATATTTATTTGCAATGATAGACATTAAAAAAAATTAGGATACTTTTTTGTTTTTTTTTTTCTGTTTCAATATAGTTTTTATTTTGAATAAAATAAATATTTATTTTCTAATAAAACTTTTTAATTTTTCACATCGTTTCATATACTTGAGCATAATTAATATACAATTCCCCACACGAAATTTTTAGTAATTAATTAAAAATCAATTATCATTTAGTTTTGAACAAAATAAAATATGCAGAGTGTACTATTGAATCAATTTGAGAATCGTTTTGATCTGTCTTAATTGAAAACTAATCATAAAAATAAAAATATATTATCATGAGGTGTGAGATTATTAACGCTCTAATATATATTTATATACATTGTTCATCATTTAAGTTTTGTTCTAATTTGTAAGCTTTCACATATTTATTTATTTGAAGAATTAAAATTAGACACATATATTTATATATTTTTTTACAATAATTTTTTTTTTTTACAAATCTATAATGATGCTCTTGGAACAAATGGCCCAATGTATCATGTTCCAAGTTTAGCCCAAAAAAAGTGAAAGTTTTGTAGCATCCCCTTCAGTGCCAAGTCCAGAACCACAAAGACAAAGTCCTATATCAACTACTTCACTGCAGCACTGTCTCCTTATTTGGTTCTTCTTCTCATTATTATT